TCTGATTCTGACATGGACTCAGAGGACAAAGGTTTACCTTCAGGATACATCTTTCTTTTTTTGCTCAGTCCTTCAATGTCCTTCTCTTTCTCAGTTGTATCCTTTGATTTCTTTCTCTTTTTTAAACTATCCTTACTGTCTGATTCAGTTTCTGATATCGAGCTTTCCGAAGACTTATATGAACAGTTCTTCTTTTTCTTTCTCCCTTTTCCTTGTTTCTTGTCCTCATCTTCAGAATCTGAAGAACTGCTGGAAGAGCAGAGCTCAATGAAGAAGAGGATGAATACCTGCCAGATTTCTTTTCTTTTTTCTTTTTCTGTCTTTTTTTTGAATAAGCTCTCACATCCACTTAACAATTTCTCTCTGTGTTTTTCTAGTTCTTTCTTCCAGTTCTGATTCATTTTTTCTTCAGATTCAGCCAAAGCCTTGGAGCCTTTCTTTTTCTTTTCTAGTTGTTCTTTCACTTCTTCCCAGGCAGGCCTTGGTCAATTCAGATAATCCTGGATCGTTGGTCTTGAAGACTGGAGTGGATCTCTTGATCTGGCCATTGCTACTAGGTTCATATATGCCACTCAATTGTCCCACTTTCCCATCCCATAATGCTATTTTTAAAGTGCATATGGGGCATTTAATAAGATAGACAATTTTCGGGACCAGCAGTTAGCGTAATGGTTATGTCGCTGGACTCCCACGTAGTCCACCACAGTTCGAGTCCGGAACCGGTGGCTTAAACTCATGCTGGGTGTGTGTGTGTGCATGTCCAAGATCCCAAGAGGAGAATGGAGGAGAAGGGATTGCGGCATGGCCATCCCCCCTTGTGGGTGCTTTCTAGCTTTCTGTCTCTGCCTCTCTCTGTCTGTCTGGCGAGCGCACATGCCCTATAGCAAAAACCTCTCCAAAAAAAGAAAAAAAAAAAAGATAGATAGACAATTTTCTGAGACACGATGCAAATATTGCTAAGTTTTAATCTAGGGCCCAGCCTCAGTGGCACAAGTGGAAGGGAGCACTGCAGAGCTGTTGGGGCCCCGTGGGTGGCTCAGGCTGAGTTTGCAGCCCAACCTAAACAGGCTGGGCATGGTGGCACACACCTATGGTCGTAGATGGCTGGGAGACTGGGGCAGGAGGATCACAACATGACAAGTCTCTGTCAAAAGCCTCCCTCTCACATAAAAAAAATTAAAATCAAGTAAAATATTCTAATTATGCAAAGTATGCTGTCTGATCAAACTGAATTAAACTGGAAATGCTTGGAAGCTAAGCAACACATATGTAAATACCATTGTACATACAACAAAATCTACATCTATATGTAATCTATATACTAATAATACACACTTGGAAATTCTACTTTTAAAAAATCAACATTCGATATGAAATATTTAGAGATAAACGTAATAAAATATGTGCAAAACCTATACAGTAAATACTACAACATATCACTGAGCAAAATCAAAGAAGACCTAAATGGATGGAGAGATATACCATATCTCCCAATTAGAATACTCAGTAGATGGGCCAGCAGGTGGTGTGGTGGTTAAGGTCCTGGACTCCCACATGACCAACCATGGTTCAAATCCAAGACCTGACAGCTCAAAAATCACACTGGGAGCATGTGTGCGTGCATGCCCAAAATCTTCAGAGGAGAATGGAGGAGAAGGGATTGTAGCATGGCCATTCCCTCTGAGGAGGTGATTTCTCACATTCCCTTTCTCTGTCTCTCTTTGTTGAACACATGCACCCATCAATGTAATTTTGATCAAATTCTTAATAAAAACTGAAAAGTTCATTCAAAATGTTATGTGAAAGTGAAAATAGCCTATAATATCTGACACAACTTTGAAAAAAAAGAGATTAATTAATTTTGAGAATTATTGTACAACTACAGTAGTCATGACAGTGCCATGTTACCGTAAAGATGGACATACAGATCAATGGAATAACATAAGAGTGTTAAAATAGAGCCAAATATATACAGCTGATTTTTTTTTTTTTTTTTTGAGAGAGAGATTTTTCGCTATATGGCGCATGCGCTCGCCAGGCAGACAGTGAGAGACATAGAGAAAGAAAGCAAGAAATCACCCCCCGGGGGGATGGTGACGCCGCAATCCCTTCTCCTCCATTCTCCTCTCGGGATCTTGGGCACGCACGCACGCACACACGCCTGGCGTGAGTTTTAAGCCACCGGGTCCGGGAGGCAAACCGCAGTCAACTACGTGGGAGTCCAGCGACATAGCCATTACGCTAACTGCTGGTTCCCTATACAGTTGATTTTCAACTGATGTACCAAGGCAATTTAATTGAGGAGGGATAATCTTTTCAATGATGTACTAAAATTGACTCATATCCAATGGTAATTTGTGCAAATCTCTTCCTAACTCTATGTTCACCTACGTCATGTTGTTAGCATGGTGTCGACAGGTGTGAGTAGTTACATAATATAAGTGGACCAATACTATTGGGGTGTTAGAAAAGCCATGATGTATTTTTTCCTATGCAAAAATACATCATGGCTTTTCAGACAACCCAATATAAATTGAGGCCTTTTTCCCCCCTTGGATAGCTGGTTGTTAAACATTTACTAACATTCCATTAGAGGTATTTATAATCTTGATTACGGTAATGATTTTCCAAATGTACACAGTAAAATTCATCAAAATGTACACTTCAAATATGGGTAGTTTATTACATGTCAATGATGACCGAAGAAATATTTTAAAATGCTTAAACTTTTACAGAAAGAGCTAGTTACATACAAAAAGATTTGTTTTGGTTTCTCATCAGTACCACTGTCTGCAAAAAGATCATAAAGTAGTATAGCCAAAGTGGAATAAATAACATTTGCTGTGTAATTTATCTTGACCCAGATGGTAAGGCAAAAATGATTCCTGATTAGGCTGGCAGGTGGCATGGTGATTAAGGCGCTAGACACCCACATGACCGACCGTGGTTCAAGTCTCAGGCCTGGTGGCTTGCTTTCTTGCTCTTTCTCTCTCTGTCTCTGTCCCTCCTTGCTCAAATTGAATAATACTACTACTAATAAATAAAATTAAATAACTTTTAAAAATTTAAGGATTAAAAATAGTTTCAACTTACACATGATCAGAAATGTTGCCACATAAAAACCCACATTGAGGGATCAACAGTGGGTATAATGGCTATGTCGCTGGACTCCCATGTAGTTGACTGCGGTTCAAGTCCTGGACCCAGTGGCTTAAACTTACAACGGGTGCTTGTGCGGAAAATATACCCATAATAAAGTACAATTAAGGGGACAGCAGGTGGTGTAATGGTTAGGGGCACTGGACTCTCACATGGCCAACTGCAGTTCAAGTCCTGAACCTGCTGGCTTAAACTTACAACGGGTGCTTGTGCGGAAAATATACCCATAATAAAGTACAATTAAGGGGACAGCAGGTGGTGTAATGGTTAGGGGCACTGGACTCCCACATGGCTGACCATGGTTTGAGTCTCGGACCTGGCGACTTGCTTTCTCTCTTTCTCTCTCACTATTTTGCTCTCTCTGTCCCCTCTCTGGTCAAAATAAATTTAATTAATTAAATAAATAAATAAATAAAATAATTCTTAAAAAAATAAAAATAAAGTACAATTAAATTTTATACATACACACACACTATTACCACAGATGTTGGGGTAGATTAAGGATTGGGTAAACATGCTAAAGTCATGTCTTTGTTAGGGTATATATATACTTTTTAAAGTTGAAAGAGTTAAAAAGAAACAGAAAAAGTGGGATAAATTGAAATATAAATTAAGTTAGTAGAATCAGCACAAATGTATTTAGAGTTACAATGAATGTTAAAAAACTCATCTAAAAGATAAAAAGATTGACATATTAGAATTAAAATAATGCACTTAAAGACATGTGGAAGTTAAAACTTGAAGGATAGTATAGTTATTTTAATATTAGATAACACAGACTTAAACATCAAAGGCATTGGTTGGACCAATGGTTAAGTGGTTGACCTAGTGGTTAAGGGAGCCAGATCCCAGATGGCCAACTGCAGTTCAAATCCCAGCCCTAGTGGCTTGAAAAACATATGTGCATGTATGTCCCAAATCTTGACAGGATGGAGAAACAGAGAAGGGATTGCAGAGTGACCATTTCCTGTTGGGGGTACTTTTACCACCTTCAACCACCTTGTCTCTCTCTCTCTCTCTCTAACCAGCCCATGCACCCTCTGGCAATTAAGAAAAAAAAAATCAAAAGAATCATTTAGGGATAGAAAGGAGTGTACATGAAAGGAGTGTACATAAACATAAAAGATTCCATTTATTGTGAAGATAAACCAATTTTAAATATATATGTACCAAATATCTTCAAAATATATAAAGCAAAAAATTTGATAGAATACAGGAAGACATTGGTAAATCTACCATTATAGTGGAGATTTCTGATACATTTGTTTCAATTACTGAGACACCAGAAAAGCTAGACTAAATTTCATATATAGTGTATGTGTGTGTGTGTGTACTTACAAACACTTATATAAGAGATGAATACAGAACTGTATCTAAAAATAGGCTCAAATATATAAATATGTACATATATATTAGGTCAACAGGAAAGTCATGACATATTTTTCTATTTTTTTTTTCTGTGCAAAAATGCGTCATGACTTTCCCAACAGCCCAATATATATGACTATATATTTTTTTCCACACATACCAGAATGTTTATAAAAATTGATCAGGTACTATGACATAAAGAAAACCCTAACAAATTTCTAGAAATAGAACCATTATTATACGCTGATAAATATTGCAAAAGTACAAAGGGAAGAGATGGTATAAAACAGTTCCCACTCAATTATAGAATTCCTGAATCCTCACCCCTACTCTGCTCCTCCCCCTTTTTTCCTTCGTAGAATGCCAATTAACATACTCAAGGACTTTTCCTTTTCAAAAATTCACAGTTACACATGTAAACATTTGCTCTTGCTCCTTGTGAGGTTTCTTTCTTCATCTGTTGGCACTTACAGGCATTGGAAGCTTGCAAAGATGCTGGCTTGGTGAAATCTCTTGGAGTATCCAATTTTAACCGCAGGCAGCTGGAGCTCATCTTGAACAAACCAGGACTCAAGCACAAGCCAGTCAGCAACCAGGTACCGTTTAGTAGCTTCTACTAGAGGAATGCCAGTGGGATTTAAGATGTGGGGAGGGGTGGGCAGGTCCTATAAACTATTTATGTGTCTAAGAATTAGGAATCTTGTGGTTGTTTCATATCATCATAAGACCCTGGGCAAGTCTTTAACTTATTTCAATTTATATCTCTCAGGAAAAAGATTTGAAAGTTCAAATCCAGGTAGATGTAACCTCCCCCAAAAAATGTTTGAAGAAAAATAATTAGGAATAAGAACTGCCAGATATTGAGATATATTATAGGGTATTTAAAATAATATAAGGGTAGTACAAAAACCAGCATGTAAATAAACGGAAAATAACAAATATCTTAGAAACAAACCTAATAAAAACTTAATGAAAAATAAAGTAGCACAAACTAATAGCAAAGGAATTAATTTTTCAAAAAGTAGTATGAGAAAGACGGCTAGTTAGGTAAAATCAAAATCTTTGCCTCGTATCATACTCCAAAGTTAATATCCCTTTGGTCAGGAGTTAAAGAAGAGAGAGGAAACCATTTGTAAATACAACCAAAGAATTCTAGCTTTCTGGAACTGTAAGTAAAAAAAAAGTAGCCAAGGGAAAAAATCAAAAAGAAAACTCTGAGGACCAGCAGTTGGCATAATGGCTATATTGCTGGACTCTCATATAGTTGACCACAGTTCAAGTCCTGGACTTGGTGACTTAAACTCATACCAGGTATATGTGCGTACGTGCCCAAGATCCCAAGAGGAGAATGGATGAGAAGGGACTGTGGCGTGGCCATACCCCCAGGGAGTGATTTCTCACTTTCTGTCTCTCTGTCTTTCTGGTGAGTGCAAGTGACCTATAGCAAAACCCTCTCACAAAAAACAAAAACAAACAAAGAAAAAAAAACCACTATCTTAAGCTAATCAGTAGCATCGTGGTTAAGGTGCTGGACCCCACATGGCCAACTATGTGGTTCAAGCCCTGGACCTGTCAGCATGAAAAACACTGGGTGGTGTCAACAAGTGGCATAGTGGTTGAGGTGCTGGACTCCCTCGTAGCTGACCACGGTTCAAGTCCCAAACCTGACAGCATGAAACACGCTGGTGCATGTACATGCATACCCCAAATCCTGAGATTGCAGTGTGGCCAACACCCTCCTCCCGCCCCAAGAGGGTGATTCCTTGCTTTCTGTCTATCTGTCTCTCCAGTGAGTGCACATGCCCTATTAGCAAAAATCTCTCACCAAAAAAAAAAAAAAAAAAACATGACCCCAGGGTCGATTTCTCACTTTCCTTCTCTCTTTCTCTCTTGTTTCTCTCCAGTGACAGTGAGCACATGTCCTCAGAGCATTAAAAAAAAAAAAGCTATCCTCTAAAACTACTGGAAACAATTAAAGAGCAAACAAAAATAATTATATATTTTTAAATATAGTACAAAAAGGAGTTTGTATCCTTATGAATTAAAAACCTAATAAAAGGCTCAACAACAACAAAAAAACTATCCAAAGAAATAAAAAGAAATTCACAGGAGACAAGACTAGCAAACATAAAAAATGTTCAACTCACTATTAGTAAGAGAAATTTAAATTTAAGTGTGATTTTTGTATTGGATTTAATTAGTGAAGTTCTTGCTTTACTTTTTAATATAATGGTCCATATAAGCAAATGAAGAAGTGCTAGTGAGTTAAGCCTTATGGGAAAACAATTTCACAATATGTACCAGGATCCTTTTTAAAAGCGTTTATCATCTTCTATTCCCAGGAATCCATCACAATGAAGACATATCAGGATGCTTAGATAGACTTATATCTGTATTTATCATAGGATTGTTTATAGTGGAAAAAATGAAAACAATATAATATGAAGTATTAAAGAGTGATTAAGTAAATTATGAGACATTCATATCATGTGAAACCTTAATAAAAATGTTCTTGAATCATCTTTGAAAAGAGAAATGAACATGATATTAAAGGGGAAAACCAGGATACAGCATGTAATATACAGTATGAAGGCAGTTATACTCTTCAAATAGATTTTACAAAGGACTTATTTTAAAACTCTGTAAAATTGCATTCAACTGCAAGACCTTAATTTGTGCTTTGTTCTCTAATGCGACCACCTAGGTTGAATGCCACCCGTATTTTACCCAGCCAAAACTCTTGAAATTTTGCCAACAGCATGACATTGTCATTGTTGCATATAGTCCTTTGGGGACCTCTAGGAATCCAGTCTGGTAAGTAATGCTGTATGTCTCTCCAGGAAGTGTTTCCTTCGGGATACGGTATGAGGCTAATGTAAATTACTTGATTGGAATTACTCTATTTGAACGTATGATCTTTTTTTTTTTTAATTCAACTTTATCATTATTATTATTTCCAAATTTTGCTACAAGGCACACACACTCACCAAAGATAGAGAGAGAGGGAAAGTGAGAAAGCAAGCCACCAGGTCCTGGGCTTGAAGAGCAGTCAGTCACATGGAAGTCCAGCACCTTAACCACTACACCACCTGCCAGCCCTGTCACTGTACAATCTTAAGAGAGTAACCTCGGCCAGTTAGTGATGTGGTAGTTAAGGTGGCTGGATCCCACACAACTGACAGCTTGGTTTGAGTTTCAGACTAAGCAGTTTGAGAAACACAGCTAGGCACATGTGTGTTCATGTCCAAACTCCGGAAAGGAGGGAGCAATGGAGAAGGGATTGAAGAGTGACCATGCCCCATGGTCACTTTCCCTCTCTCAGTCTCCTGCCAGTGTATGTGCCCTCTGGCAAAATTTTAAAAAAGAAAAGAAAAAGAATGTAACTTAACCTCTTCAAGTCCTTATCCATATATACAGATTAGATTTAATAATACCTTCCCCCCACTTAATATATACCGAATGTCCACACTCTATAACTGAAACTGACGGGCTAAAGGATGTACAAACACAAGAGGTGGATGTGAATGCCAGATGTGGTGTGTGTGGAGGAGTGGGGCCTGGGGAAGAACATTTGGAGGAGGGATACGAAGACAGCATTGTTGAGACAGGGAGGTAGTGTTGTTATATTTTGATCAACTCGACCAGGGAGAAATGTTCTTATATTGAAATGATCACCTTGTAAGCTAAATAATGTGATTGAATGTATTAAAAAAAAAAGTAAAATAAATTTTAAAAAAATAAATAAATAAAGTATAGGAACAATAAAAAAAAATAATAATAATATCTTCCTCACTGAGGTGTTGCAAGAATTGGTCACAGGGCCGGTCTGTGGTGCAGAGGTAAAGTACTAGAGGGAAGCTGGATCACACGTGGTGACTGCGGTTCACATCCCCTAACTGGTCAGTCTGCAGCACACCAGGCACACAGGAATGCCTGGTGGGTAGGAAGCCTGGAAGAAGGGATTGCGTTGACAGACTCTGGTGGGTGCTCCTCCCTCTCTCGCTTGCTCTCTCACATAAATGCACGTACACTCTATTATGAATAAAGAAAAAAATGTTCAATTAATTACATTTTATGTATGGAATTATCTTATCAGGGCCTGACATACAGAAAATGTTCAAAAAGTATTAGTTCAGTTGTTTTTTTATTGAATTTCTACAGCCTTGTGCAAAATGTTTAGATTCTTTATCTCTATATTTATGGCAACACTCCTACTGGAATGTGTTCCACAGAATTAAGCAGAAATTTCTCTGCTCTAAGATCATTCTGAGAATTATGACTCGATTTCTCCCACTTTAGTTTTCCTGCCTTTCCCTATATGCCTACCTTCAATCCAGCTTTCTTTGCAAACTTGTCAGAAAAATATATTATCTTCTACAAGAGACAGTTCCAGGACCCAACAAGTGACGCCGTAGTAGTTATGGCACTGGACTCCCACATGGCCAAAGGCAGTTCAAGTCCTGGACCTGGTGACTTGAAACTCATGCCAGGTGCATGTGTATGCATGCCCAAAATCCTGAGAAGAGAACGTAAAAGGGATTGTGGTATGGCCATGTTCCTTAGGAGATGATTTCTCTCTTTCTCTCTGTCTGTGTCTCTAGCAAGCACATGCGCTCTAGCAAAAATCTCTAAAAACAAACAAACAAACTCCATCAGCTTGTCTCTCTTGATCTTTCAATAGTAAGTCTCCATTTGATAAATGCTCTCAGAGAAACTGGTTACAAGTGACATGAGGTGTGCTTGTAGGTGACCAAATGACGAAGGAGGGTGATTGATTAACCCTGAAACTCCCTACTCAAGCTATGATGAATGGTTTGGTTTTTTTAAAGGGTGAATATTTCTTCTCCACCTTTGCTGAAGGACCCACTTCTAAATTCACTGGGAAAAAAGTACAATAAGACAGCAGCTCAAGTTGTTCTGCGGTTCAACATCCAGAGAGGGGTGGTCGTCATTCCTAAAAGCTTTAATCCTGAAAGGATCAAAGAAAATTTTCAGGTAAGAAAGATGACTAGGTTTGTTGATTTGCTTTTAGAGAATATTCTGTTCAGCGTAATAAGAAACTTGTAATTCATCTTGTACCAGTTTCCCAACTCACACTACTCATATCTGGATTTAATTTTAGTGCAATTTGAGACAATTTTTAGTACTTCAGCATTTTATCCAATTTCCTCCTACCTTCTGTTTCCTTATCTATTGATCCCTTTTTAAAGTTTTCTTCCTTTCTTCTTTCTTCTTCCTTCCATGAATGAGAGAGACAGAGCGCGAGAGAGAGCAAGAGAGAGACAGCATCACCAACAGGGCCATCAGCCATCCAAGTCTCAGACATCTTCAGATTATGGGCACATGCATGCCAGGCATACTCTGGGAAGTTTCCAAACTTGAGCCTAGGAGCTTCCCATGTAGGTCAGCCTCAGAATAATACAGAACATTGTATTAATCACTATGCCATTGGCTGGTCCCCATCTATTGACCCTTGACACCACCTACTCACTCCACCACCAGTGCAACTGAAATAGAATGTAAACATTTGAAATTAATAGTCAACCCTGTACCTTTTTAATGACTCACATAACAGTTTCAGAGAAGGGGCCTGCAGATGGCGTAGCGGTTGTGTCACTGGACTCCCACATGGCCGATCACAGTTTGAGTCCCAGACCTGGAGGCTTAAAATTCATGCCAAATGTGTGTGTGGGGAGGTGGGGGTGGCAGTAATCAGTCACTTTCCTTCTTGCTGTCTTTCTCTCCAGTGAGTGCACATGTCCTAAGGCAACTTTAACTTTTAAAAAGTTAAAGAGAAATTTGAAAAGTTTTGAAGCAAACTTAGACTTCATAAATGTTAATTCTCTTTAGTCCCTCTAAAAGTAATCTGTGAACAGCATTTTTAACTTCTGGGGTGAAAAAAGAAATTTCTAGACAAAAGAATGATTATTTTACTCTGATAGAACTAAAGGCTAAACTACTAGGAAAATACAACCATAGAAAAGTTCTCTGCAAAATTAATCAATTGTCCATTAGTTGATAGTTTAAACTTGAAAAGTTCAATCTTTCTCTCTCTCTCTCTCTCTCTCTCTCTCTCTCTCTCTCTCTCCCTCTCTCTCCCTCTCTCTCTCTCCTTCTCCCTCTCCCTCTTGTGTTTCTCTGGCATGCATATGCACCCTATGGCAAAATTACTAAAATAAAGCATAAAAATGTAGGTACCAGCAGTTGGTGTAATGGCTATATTGCTGGACTCCCATGTAGTTGACCATGGTTCAAGTCCCAGACCTGGCGGCTTAAACTCACTCCAGGCACGTGTGCGTGTGTGCCCAAGATCCCCAGAGGAGAATGGAGGAGAAGGGATTGTGGTATGGCCATCCCCCCTGGGGAGTGATTTCTCACTTTCTGTCTCTCTGTCTCTCTCTGTCTTTCTGGCGAGCACATGCACCCTATAGCAAAAACCTTTCCAAAAAAATGTATTTACTTGTTTATGTAATTATTTTAATTTGACGAGAGAAAGACAAAGTGAAAAAGAGAAAATGACAAGAAGCCAGGTTCAGGACTCAAACCACAGTCCACCATGTGGGAATCCAGCACCCTTAACCATCACACCACCTGCTGGCCCAAAAACAGGACTTTTTAAAAAAAGAAGTGTGAGACAATAGCATAGAATCCAAAGCATACCATCTTCTACAGAAACCATAAGAGTTTTTCACATATGGAATTTTAGATTTCCTGAGCATATATGTTATTTCAAAGCATTTGAGTTTTTTCAAGATGTCCCCAGTAGGATTGTCTCAACAAGGAGTAGAACAGAAAGTCCAGCTGCACATCGGTGGGGTCCCCCACCCAGCTCTAGCCCAGCTCTTCTTAGACATTTGTGGAGATGCTCAGATAGCACTGAAGGGTTCCCTTTGCTGGCTCCATCCCAAGCTAAACCCATTTTCTACCTTTTAAAATGTCCTGTGTACCAGCAGATGGCGTAATAGTTACGTTGCTGGACTCCTATGTAGCCGACCACGGTTTGAGTCCCAGAGCTGGCAACTTAGAACTCACACCAGGTGCATGTATGTGTATGCCCAAAATCCCAAGAGGAGAATAGAAGAAAAGGGAATACACTATGGCCATCCCCTCTGGCGGGGGGGGGGGGGGGGGGGCCCCCGGCGGGGGGGGGGGGGGGGGGGTGATTTCTCACTTTCTGTCTCTCTGTCTGTCTGCAAGCACATGTGCCCTATAGCAAAAATCTCTCTAAAAAAAAAGTTTTTAATAAATTAAAATGTCCTGTCTTATATGTCATTATTTTAGATCTTTGACTTTTCTCTCACTGAAGAAGAAATGAAGAGCATTGAAAGCTTGAATAAAAATGTCCGCTTTGTGGAAATGCTCATGTAAGTTCTGGGGGCTCATTAATCAGGTTCTGCCCAGTGTATAAAATTGTCAGGCATCAGCCAACAGAAGGACTCAGGTGAACCCCATGCTTTTTCCATAGAATGCCGACAGTGGTTCAAATATTAACCAAGCCTGTGTGAAAACACCCACTCTAAGAACTTCCTACAACCCTACACTGTCATTAAGAGAAAGGCCCTGACATTTACATCCTGTGACTTACACTAAGGCATGGCAGGCCAAAGCGCCTGAGGAGAATGAACTCATATGTACACATGTTAAAACAACAGCAGCACAAATATCGAATCAATATATTCATTTTTTTCCAAAAATTCAAAGTGATGCACACACTAGAACAAGGTTATACAAAAAACAAATTTAAAAACAATATAAATTTTAAAAACCTTCCAGGAGAAAGGCATGATATATATGGTAGAAAGAGCACCAGTTTGGTGCTAGGACCTAGAGTTTTAGACAAGCTCTTTCTTGCCTGTAAGATTTAGAGCTTCCAGCTCCAGCTATTAGCTGAGTTCCTATAAGGAAGATTCCTTATACTCCAAAATGTTTCCATGTTCACTTATCTAACTGAAGTAGAACTTTATTCTCTAAATATTGCAAATTCTTTCAAATGAAAAATATATAGTTCATACATACAAGGGGGCTTCAAAAAGTTCATTGAAAATGGATATTATGAAAAAGCCATAAGTGGATTTCAAAAAATACTTCTAAATTATTTATTTAATTTATATATTCACTCATTTTAGTTTTAATTTGACCAAAGAGAGACACAGAAAGAGAGCAAAAGTGAGAAAGCAAATCACAAGGTCCAGGAGTTGAACTGCAGTCACTCATATGGGAGTATCCATGGAAGTCCACCATGCCACCTGATGGCCCCTCAAAAAAATTTTTTAAATAACTTCTTTTTTTTTTTTTTTTTTTTTGCCAAAGGGCATATGCACTGACCAGAGAAAATCAGTGAGAAAGAGAGAAAGAAGAAAACATGACCCAAAGGGGCATGGTCACACTATAATCCATTACTCCTCCTTCATTTCCCCCTCCTTTCAGGATTTTGGGCTCATATGCATATGTGCCTAGCATGTTTTTCAAGCTACTAGGCCAGATTTTGAACCGCATGGTCAGCCATGTGGGATCCAACTCCCTTAACCACCAGCCCTAAACCTGGACATTAATTCCATTTTCCCACAAACTTTTGAAGTCCTCTTGTATGTGTATATGCACGTATGTGTGTATATTACACATGCTTTTTTCCTTCTTCATGATTCTCCATTAATCTTTCCAGTTCTTCACATTACCAGGACAGTCATCTTTATTTTACAATCTTTTCTTTAGGTGAACATTTTTTTTTAATAGAGATTTTTGCTATAGGGTGCTTGCACTCACCAGGGAGACAGAAAGTGAGAAATCACCCCTCTAAGGGGGATGGTCACACCACAGTCCCTTCTCCTCCATTCTCCTCTCAGGATTTTGGGAACACATGCACACACACCCAGCGTGAGTTTAAGTCACTGAGTCTAGGACTTGAACCACAATGGACAACATGGAAGTCCAGCAATGTAACCATTACGCCATCTGCTGGTCACTAGGTGAACATTTTCTAAATGTCCATTAAGATGAGTCATACAATTTGGGAACTTATTTTATTGGTTCTACTATTTTTTCCCGAATCAGAAAGTGCTCTGCTATTATTGAATATCTAAATTAATAAAATAGCTTCCCAGTGTTATTTTTCCCAGGAAGAAATTTGCTTTACATCAAAAGGCACCATCCAGCTTCAAGGAAAAGAAGTGTGAACATGAACACTTTGCCAAAACTAATAGAGTTACAGGTTTAATAGCTCTTGAAGTAACTGATCTCTATTGGATCAGTAAATTAAGAATAAATGGGATCAGAACCAGTGGATGGTATAATACTTATGTCACTGGACTCCCACATAGTCAACTGCAGTTCAAGTCCCAGATCAGTGGCCTAAAACTCATGCTGGGCGTGTTTGTGTGTCCAAAATCCCAACAAGAGAATGGAGGAGAAGGGATTGTAGCATGATCACCCCCCCCCCTCGGGGGTGATTTCTCAATTTCTGTCTCTCTGTCTCTCCAGCAAGCACACATGCCCTATAGCAAAACTCTCTTAAAAAAAAAAAAAAAAAAGAATAGATAGTAAGAGGCCAGCAGGTGGTGAGGTGGTTAAGGCACTGGACTATGGCCAACATGCCCTATAGCAAAACCCTCTTAAAAAAAAAAAAAAAAAGAATAGATAGTAAGAGGCCAGCAGGTGGTGAGGTGGTTAAGGCACTGGACTCCCACATGGCCAACTATGGTTTGAGTCCCAGACCTGGTGGCTTGCTTTCTCATTTTCCCTCTCTTTCTGTGTCTCTCTGGTCAAATGAAAAAATAATAATAATAAATAAAATTAAATAAGTAATCCTTTTTAAAAATAAAAAGAATGATAGAAAAATGTAATTACTTTACCAACATATAGACTATTTTAGAGACAGTAACATTATGCTTGGCATTTGACATGTTTAATGCAAATTCTAGCAACACAGGGAAAAAATTAATCAGTCAAGAAAAAAAAAAACAGAAAAATCAACAAGACAAGACTGATTAGGCAACATTAATCAAAAATCTGTATCCTTTAGGGATGCTGGGCCATGATCCTTTTCTCTTTTTCATCCAGTTTATCTTTGACATATGGCAGCTTTTTTGTTTTATATTTTAATTTACGGTTCATAATACTTGCAGAGAATTGAATCTTGCATATGTTCCATGACAGAAACATAACATATTGGGACCTTTTATAGATTGTTCTCATTATTATTTAACAGGTTCATCATCATCATCATCAAAATTTACTTCGCTCTTCTTCACATTTCTAGACCTGAGACTTCCAGCACTTAGGAGGTCTAGTGAGAGGAGCAAGTGAAAGTGCTGACCAGTAAGGGGTGGCCCCAACTGGTCTAAGAGCTTAGAAGAGAAATGCTTGTGTAGTCCATCGGAGTGAGACAGGGCCAGTTTCAGGCGAGCAGAAGGGAGGAAGGAGTTAGAAAGAGGCATGCAAACATGGGCAGGCATCCTTCACCTCCTGCATTTTTGTTCTGAGTGAAATCTTGATGTGGCTCCTACCGACCTTCACCCCCACGCACACTCTCACACATTCACTTGCTAGCTCTCTCCAACAATTCACAGCCAGGGTGCTGTCCAGAACTTCAGGTCCTGGCTTGAGGGAAAATTGGAGAGGAGAGTGCATGAGAAACAAAGGAGAAGGAGTAAGAGAGAGATGTAGTCAGTGAAACTAGCAAAGGATGCTAGTCACAAGTACAAGTGCAACTTTTACACTCTCTTGCTTTGGGGGAATTGTTTTGGCAGGTGGAGTGATCATCCTGAATACCCATTTCATGATGAATACTGACTTCTGTGAGTTCTTGAAGAGATTCCTCCGTGACCCCATGTACGCTAGAACTTTGGACTGGATGTTTCCCACAGATGCAAAAATAAATGGGGTTTAGTACTCTCAAACGATATGTTGGTGAAGCATGCTTGGCCTCTGGGTGGTCTAAGTGACTGACTAGCTGTGTTGAAGAAAGAAATGCTTAACTCGGGGCTGGCAGGTGGCGTGGTAGTGTAAGGGGTGGCCCCAACTGGTCTAAGAGCTTAGAAGAGAAATGCTTGTGTAGTCCATCGGAGTGAGACAGGGCCAGTTTCAGGCGAGCAGAAGGGAGGAAGGAGTTAGAAAGAGGCATGCAAACATGGGCAGGCATCCTTCACCTCCTGCATTTTTGTTCTGAGTGAAATCTTGATGTGGCTCCTACCGACCTTCACCCCCACGCACACTCTCACACATTCACTTGCTAGCTCTCTCCAACAATTCACAGCCAGGGTGCTGTCCAGAACTTCAGGTCCTGGCTTGAGGGAAAATTGGAGAGGAGAGTGCATGAGAAACAAAGGAGAAGGAGTAAGAGAGAGATGTAGTCAGTGAAACTAGCAAAGGATGCTAGTCACAAGTACAAGTGCAACTTTTACACTCTCTTGCTTTGGGGGAATTGTTTTGGCAGGTGGAGTGATCATCCTGAATACCCATTTCATGATGAATACTGACTTCTGTGAGTTCTTGAAGAGATTCCTCCGTGACCCCATGTACGCTAGAACTTTGGACTGGATGTTTCCCACAGATGCAAAAATAAATGGGGTTTAGTACTCTCAAACGATATGTTGGTGAAGCATGCTTGGCCTCTGGGTGGTCTAAGTGACTGACTAGCTGTGTTGAAGAAAGAAATGCTTAACTCGGGGCTGGCAGGTGGCGTGGTAGTGGAGGGTGCGGGACTCCCACGTGGCCAACCATGGTTCTAGTCCCAGAACTTGGCTTGCTTTCTCTCTCTCTCTCTCACTCTGTCCCTCTCTGTTCAAATTTAAAAATAATAGTAAATAAATAAAGTTAAATAAAATAATACTTCTTTATTATTAGAAAGAAAAAGAAGAAAGAAAGCAATGCTTAACTCTATTGAAACAGTTATTTGGAAATTATCAGCTGATATGTTATTAGATCAATATCTTCTAAGTTCCAGAAAGAAAAACATTAAACTTTAGAAAGTTACTTCAAAGGCAATGTAGGAAGAGAAATGATTCATGAATCTGGATACTCTCATTGGAAGCCTGAATTCTTTGACAGTCAACAGACAACCACAGTGGGGCTGGGGTGGGGGAAGGGGTTACACATGCCACTGTGCTGACAGTGGCCTTGATGGCTTGTACCATGGGTTGCAATACAGACACCGTCCAGATGAGAGACATATGTGCATTCTTAACAAGGAAGTGATTTGCTGCACCAAGTGTGGAAGTCTTCAAATAGAGCTAAACACCACAGTAGTCAGAAAAGGCATAATAATTTTGCTGTTGTCTGTTTCCACCCGATGTATATTTGTGTAGCTTTTACCCTTTAAGGATAGGTAATTACTGGTTCTCTTTTGCATCCCTTAAAGTTTCAACATCACTAGAGATGCACACTTGCACCACCTGATCATCACTCTTACAGTCATCATACAACCACCATGTGGGAAGTGGCTTGAAACAACCAATGCAAACAAATAAAACTCTATCATAAACTAGTTCAAAGATGGCCATTTAAAAAGGAAACTTAGGACCAACAAATGGCACAATGGTTATGACACTGCACTCCCATGTGGTCAACCGCGGTTCGAGTCCCAGACCTGGAGGCTTAAACCTCACACCAGGCATGTATGAGTATGTGTCCAAGCTCCCGAGAGGAGAATGGAGGAGAAGGGATTGTGGTGTGGCCAGCCCCCTTGGGGGTTGATTTCTCACTTTCTGTCTCTCTCTCTCTTTATGGCAAGCGCATGCACTGGTAGCAAAAACCTCTCCAAAAAAAAAAGTTTTTATAGAATCATTCTACCGTATTTAAGACTTGAAGGGCATTTTTGAGATACCTATGTCAGTTTTGAAAAATTAGAAAATTTGAAAAAACATTGATAATTTTATCATATGTAATTCTTTCAAAAGTGAATGACATTTGGAATCAAGCAATAGAGGTATTTTCTTTTAGTTGCTAGAGGGTACATACTCTCAGCAGAGAGAGACAGAGAAACAGAGAGAGAAGAGGAAAAAAGCACCCCCAATGCAACATGGTCAGGTCCTGATCCTTTCTCTTCCTCTTCCTTATTCTGTATGGATTTTAAGCACACTTGCACACATACCTGCCATGTCTCTCAAGCCACCACCAAGCCAGAACTCAAACTGCATGATTGGTCATGTGGGATCCAGCTTCCCTAACCATCAGGCCATGGTACCAGCCCAAGAGATGTACTATTTCAATTCAATTAGCAAGACATATTTTATTATTCACATTAGTTCACTCTCAGAGGGTAAGAGAGTTCTCCAAATATTATGTCTTCCCAAGACCAATTTTCTATGAAATAATCAAAAGACATACTTTTCTAAGAAATTATCACTTGAAAAATTTTGATCCAGGGACCGGCCGGTGGCATAGAGGTTAAGGGAGCTGGACTCCCACATGGCTAATCACAGTTCAAGTCCCAAACCTGGCTGTTTGCTTTTTCACTTTCTCTCTCTCTCTCTCTTGGTCTTGCTCTCGCTCTGTCCCTCTCTGGTCAAATTTAAATAAATAAATAAATAAATAAAGTTAAGTAAAATAATCATTTAAGAATATTTTTTCAAGCCAGTAGCTTAGTGGCTAAGGAAGCCAAATCCCACATGACCAACCTTGATTGGAGTCCTGACCCTGGCAGCTTAAAAGACATATTAGGCATGTGTATGTGCATGTCCAAAATCCAGATGAGATGGAGGTATAAAGGAGAAGGGACTGAAGCATGAACAAGCTCCATTGACAAGCACTCTCTCCCTCTCCATCGTTCTGTCTGTCTCTGGTGAGTACACACACCTTCTGACAATTAAAAAAAAATCAAAACCATTATTTTGGGAAAGAAAGGGCTGTACATAAAGATAAAAGATTCAATTTACTGGAGTCGGCAGGCAACGTGGTGGTTGGGGCATTGGACACCCCCATGCCTGACCACAGTTTGAGTCCCAGACGTGCTTTCTCACTTTCCCTCTCTCTCTCTCACTCTCTCTCTTCCTCTCGCTCTCTGTGTCTTTCTCTTTCTGGTGAGCACAGGTGCCCTATAGCAAATTAAAAAATAATAATAAATTAAATTAACAATTCTTTTTTAAAAATTCAATTTACCAAGAAGACATACCAAATTTTAAACATATTATATACCAAATAAAATATCTTCAAAATATGTAGAGTCAAAAATTGATATAATACTGGGACCAGCAGTTAGCGTTATGGCTATGTCGCTAGACTCCCACGTAGTCGAACGCAGTTCGAGTCCCGGACCCGGTGGCTTAAACTCACACCGGGCGCATGTGCATGCATGCCCGCCCAAGATCCCAAGAGGAGAATGGAGGAGAAGGGATTGTGGCGTGGCCATCCCCCGCCCCGGGAGGGTGAATTCTCGCTTCTCGCTTTCTGTCTCTCTGTCTGTCTCTATCTGTCTGGCGAGTGCACGTGCCCTATAGCACAAACCTCTCCAAAAAAAAAAAAAAAATTGATAGAATACAGAAAAGCATTGATAAATCCACAATTATAGTGGAAGATTTCTGACACATTTCTTTCGATTATTGAAAAGCTAGACTTGATTTTATATGTAATGTGTGTGTGTGAATACAAATATGTGTGTGAGAGAGAAACAGAATTACATTCAAAAATAGGAGAATATGTATATTTTTCATATATACCAGAACATTTATAAAAATCAGTCAGGTATTGAGACAGCAGGTGGCATGGTGGTTAAGGCACTGGACACTCCCACATGGCCAACCATGATTCAAATCCCAGACTTCGTGGCTTGCTTTTTCACTTTCCTCTCTCTCTGTGTCTCTCTCTGGTCAAATTAAAATAAATGAATGAATAAATAAAATTGAATAAAATAATTTTTTAAAAAATCAATCAGGTATTATTCCATGAAGAAGACCTCAACAAATTTAAAGATATGAAATCACTATTATGGGGGACAGCAGGTGTTATAGTGGTTAAGATACTGGACTTACACATGGCCAACCACAATTCAAGTCCTAAATCTGGCAGCATAAAAGTCATGCCAGGAGATCACATGCATGCTCAAAATCCTGAAGGGAGAATGGAGAAAGGATTGCAGCATGGCTCTTCCCCTGGGTGGTGATTTCTTACTTTTCCTCTCTCTGTCTCTCTCTGGCAAGCACACACACTATGTCAAAAGCCTAAAAATAAATTAAAAAAATAAATAAAATCATGATTTATATACTGACCTACATTGCCAAAATACAAGGGAAAGATATGGTATACAATATTTCCCAAACTCAGTTATAGAATTCCTGCCACAACCCTCCCCTCCACCCTGTTTTTGCTTTTTTTGTTTTTTCAATGAACATACTCAGGGACTTTTCTCTTTAAATAATCTCGGGTGAGCACGGGTGGCTTCTGACAATTACCAAAACAATTTTTTTAATTTATACTCCTTGTTCCCACTGAGTCCAATATTAGTATGTTACTACTTACAGTGCTCTCCTCTGGAAAATGTTTTGTTAAAAAAAAATTATAAAACATAACGATTTGTTGCACCAAGTGACTCTGCATTCCATGTCTAAGGGATGGGGGAAGAAATCATCTGAATCCAATTAAATTAAAAGACCTTTCATTGAGTTCCTATCGTGCATTTAGTGCTGGGGAGAGAGAGCAGGAAAAGGGAATGCCATAACAAAAGAAAAGAAACTCGAGTTTCTCAGCTCTGATCTCAGTGGTCAAAGCCCTTCAAAATACTTTTGAGATGCCTGGTGTGGAGATGGGAACAGAGACAACACCTATCGGATCACTTAAAAAGGCAGCATTGGGGGTGGTGACTCCGGCTTAGAGATGGCAGTGCCACTCCCTGTACAAACTGGTGGGCTCGCTGCCTTGGAAAGAGGCTTTCAGGAAGGGATGCCGGGAGAGAATAAGAAACAGCGAGGA